TAGAGTTGCAGTGGTGTGAAGGAGGATTCCTGCCAGATAATGTGAAGTGCAAAATATGTGTACCATCTTTTAGCAACTAGAGTTGTTCAGTGGTGTTAACAAAGCCCTTCCTTTGCACTTGCACTTGAAATAGGAGGAAGAGTATTGCTAATAGTAATACTGTATTAACATATTTAAATATGTGTTAGTTTTTAGGCCTTTATGTCAGAGATCATCCTCTATGATTTTAGATGTTATGTAGGTAACTGCCTGATTTTACAAGAGTAAAAGTGAGAGGTAAATTATCTGCCTACAAGCTGAATGGATTTACCCTGATAAGAACAATCAGTTATACAGAGTGTTGGAGTAAGTACCATTCCCAGGGGACTTTGCTTTGTAGTACCTGCACCTCGTGACTTTTGCGTTCTCCTGTCTCCAGATTCTGTGCTGGTTTGTCTGTAAAGGGTTCTTTGAAATAAAGGGGAGGGGGAAGAAAAACCCTAAACCCACACTAGAACAAGTAGCAAAACACATATATATTATATTTGGGTAGTGCTTCAGTGGGGTTTAGATAATTTTTTTTTTTTAAACTGTGTCCCCCAGTCTCATCCATCCTTATTAGATTTACTGCTTTGTGTGTCACTGACTCTTCCAGAAATCTCTTGCTGTGTGGATTTCTATATTTATGATAAGCAAAATCTGTATCAGCTTTAATTTTTAAACCAACCTGTATTCTATTCTAGATAGTTTCTCAGTGACATAAATTGCCAAAAGTGCAATTCTCACATCATTCATCCTTGTCTTTGAAGATAATTTCATCATATTTTCCTTATTGAAAACTTGTGATTTAGTTTCCATGACTCCCATCTTCCTGTCTGGCTGCTCTTTGAGCTGCTTTTTGTGAGTCCCCATTTTCTTCAGAGCTTTTCTCAAACCTGATTCCTGCTCCCTTCCTTTATACCTACTTCATGGTTCACCTCCAGTGTAAGAACTCTGTCTGTAGCTTCTGTCCCTCACACCACAGAGGCAAGAGAGAGGTCACTACTGCCTGTAGTGCCCACCTGGAACCCAGATATGCTCTGACCAGATGCAGTTATGCAACTCAAGTACAGGTGTTGCCATTTCTTCCTTAGAAATATCTCTGCTTTTTACTTTGTGTGGGGACTAAAAGTATTTTAGGTCCTTAGGTCTTTTGTAGAAATATAAATATTGGCTTTTTCCCTGATGTGTTTGCTTTGGAAAAGCAAAACGTTTTTAGCTTTTCAGCTTTTAATAATAGTGTATTTAGTGGTTTTATTCACAACTGCTTTCTATTTAGAAATTTTCTTTAATAATACATCTAATTGCTCAGTATTTATTTTCTTTAAAAAATTCTAGACACCAAATCTTGTTTTAACCTTCTTAATTTCAAGTTGATTGCAAAAGCAAACATCTGGTTTTCATCCTGTTTAACCTCCTTGCTCTGGTCAAGTCAAAATCTTCACTTATTATCTTCTTATACCATCTTTCTAACTATGAGTCATCTCTTCTTTAGTATTCCCCCTGCAGTGCTTCCCTATTAGTCATGCTACAGGCTGTCCTTTATTATGTAATCCATAAGTTCATGATATTTATTTAGAAAGTGAATAACTGCACGTTCTGTAGCTTCTCTATCTCACCATTTTTTCAGTTTTCCCACAGTTCCTGTGACTTGTCCAGATACAGATGGGACAGTTTCAGAATGCTGCCTGCTGTGCTTTGGGATGACAGTGCAGGTGCACAGAGGTGCAGGCAGGGAGTGTTCTGAGCCAGGACTGCTTCCCTGGCTCTGCTCAGAACACTAAAGGCTCACCCCTGAGTGAGTGCTTTGTGTGCAGGGACATCCTCTCTGTCCCCACACCCTCTTGCTGGGCTCCAGTGCCTGTTCCCTGGTCAGGCTGGACACTCTTTAGGGGATGGGGCAGTTTTTACTCTTTCTGCAAAGTTTAAGCCAGGTGTCTGATCATAACTGAAGCTACAAATCAGATACAATACATTCATAAATGACATAGCAGGGCTCCCCATCCTCTCCATTTGGGAACACTGGTCATTACAACATGGGCAGTAAGAACATTCCTTCCCACTTGTGTTTACTAACACTGAAAGCACCATCCTAGCAAAGCTTAGGCAGCCCCAGCTGAGCCAGCTACACCTGCCAAATGGGGTTTGTGAAAAAGCTTAGAAACAGAGCAAGTCTGAGCAAAAAGCATCTTAGAAATACAAGTGCATTATTTCTGAATTGATTATTTGCCTGTTCTGTGTTGGTGTATGAACCACAGCAGCAGTAACATTCCTGCACCTGCTGTAATATTGGCTAGTATTCACTGTGTTCCACATAATGAACTGAAAAAATTGCTAATTCTGGTTTACTTACTGTGTCTGACATGATCAGCTCCACTGTGGACATCACTGATGTTGGAGCAGGTCATTCTGCTTGAAGACTTTGGGCCTGAAATAAAGAGGCTTATGTTTAAAACTGATCTGTAACTAGGTAAAAGGTTTGGCAGACACATTGGTAGTGTGCTTGGTGTTCCAAGAAAGCCAAATCTAAGTATGGTGTAAATTGGGATCAGATACAGCTGTACAGCGTGGATGAGATTCCTGCCCAGAGCAGGACATGGTTTCCCACCCTTGCCACAGCTTCCTAGCTGTGTAAAAGGAGGCATAGTTTAAAGAACAGAAGAAAGACAAGTTTTAATCTACTCAGAACCAAACAAGTAGTCTTGCCATGCTGTTTATAAATTTTCTTTCACATGATTTGGATGGGTTAGACTTGCTTAAGATTTTTACAGAGATTGCACATCTAGTTTGAAGGCAAAGTGAGCTTGCTTGATCTTACTAGTTGTAAGCAAGGAAATCCAAAACAAGAACATACCAGAGATTTTTTGCTTTCCTGTAAACACCACACCAGTTAGTGAATTCCTCAGGGCTTTGTGTCAGTGATGTGGGAAGTTCTGAGAAGTATCCCCAGGGTGAGAAACTTAACATCATATCATTAGAGTGTATGCTTAAACTGCATTTCCATGGAAATTATTTTTTTTAATGCATATTTGTATAATAAAGCTTGTGGATTTGTAGAGTTGGATATTCATCCATAAATGTGTGTTTGCACACACTTACTTGCATTGTTTTGGGTAGATTAGACCAAGTGGACTTAGCCAGCCAGGTGGGTTCCTGCAGGAAGGTTTGGACGTTGCTGGGTGTGTGACTGTCTGTGCCACAGCCCAGCCAGCCCGGCAGGGGCTGCTGAGAGCAGGGGCTGTCACAGTCCCTGAGGCACTGCCAGTCCCCAGGCAGCACCTGCCAGTGAGGGACACCTTGGGAAGAGTTCACAGCTTACCTGGAGACACAGGAACTTAAGGACCACAAAAATGAACTATTGTAAAATAATTCTTCAGGTCACTTTTTACAGTCATGTACTTGGAATGTAATTGTAATTACTTGGAATGTAATACTTAATGCCCTACTTAAAGCAGGTATTTTCAAGTTTCCAGAGGGACTCGGTACCTTTGGAATGACTTTTCATCAATTTACATTTTAGTGTTGTTATTTTTGCATTCTCTCATCTCTATCCTTTGTAATTCTTGTGTAACAATGCTGTAAAGTCTGGACAGATCTGCTGTGCCCACAGCTCTAAGATGTTTGTATTTAAACTCTCAATGTTTGTGTGACATAAGAAAATAATGTCCTTGTTTTCAGGACTTGCTATTCCCAGTCTTAATGCCTTAGCCAGAGGAATATCCTTCCTGTGCTGCAGAACAGGAAATAAGCTGGTTCCTTTTAAATTCTGGAAACAATGAACTTTGTCCTTAGCTTAATTTTTCAGAAATTACATTCATTTTGATGTTTTGGACAATGCATTAGCTTGTTTTGCTTCCTCGTGAAATACAATGGGAACAGCATACCAGAATCATACATCCACAATAAGCTATGAAGTCTGAATTTAAGAATGTAAATATTACATCTTTAATGTATGTTTTCTCTTGACCATCCCTTGTTCAGAAGATGAAACTGGGACCATAGCTGTATGTACCAAAGAGAGAATGCAGCACTACGATAAATTGATACAGACACAAGGGGAACAGTAGAAGAAAAAAAAAACATTTTTTTTCCTTATTATTTCTTTTCCTTGGGAAAATTTACAAAAAAGCCATAATCTTTGAAAGTACAAGGCCTTTATGTCTGTATCCTCCCCCAGGTTTTGTGGTTCCCCATGTACTGTGTAATGTGTGTCACACGGGTTACTCACACAGTAACAATGAGAAACTGTATTTTGTTAAATGTAATGAAACATAAGAAGTTACCTCTGAAACTTTATAAACAGTTTTTCCACGTTTGACAGTATTGGATTTATTTTGTCCTTGAAATAATTACGATAACACATATCTCAGTCTGGAAAACAGCATTTTCTGATGTTCAGAGAGAGGATAAGGTCTGTTTCTGATTGTATTGCTTTTATTGGTGTTTTTAAATAAGCCAGATAAAATCTGGCTTCTCTTCAGTTTCTTGTGTTTCAGCAAGGTTTATTTAAATGTACAATCAGCCTTTATATTACAAAAGAAAATCCTTAAGAAAAAGCCATCAACCAAACACAGAGCATTTCTTCTGCAGTGCTCTGGAAAGGTGATTTGTGTTTCAGCAGTGAGGTCACAGAAGATTGCTTCAGGACATGTAAAATCTGTAATCATTATGGGTTGTAATTTATGGTATAAACTCTTCTTACCTCACTGTTTTCTTGATGTGTGCTTAATATCCCTTACAAGGCCCAGCTGACAGGAACAGTGGATGTGTGTGTGAAATGCAGCCCCTCTCAGATGTGACCACAGAGCAGCAAACTCTGCTGCAAGTGTGGATTGGCAGTCACTGCTCTGAGCTGTGTTAACAGCAGCTCGTGGAGGTGACTGTCACTCTGAATAGACAGAGCAAAGACATTTCTCAAGTTGAACTACGTGGGGTTTTGCACTTCCTGTGCTCACATGGGAATCAATGTTTTCTTTTGTCAGTACTTCAGCTGAGGCTGCAACAGAGACGGACACGAGAACAGCTGGTGGACCAGGGCATCATGCCACGTAAGCCTTGTGTTATTTCATTTGTATTTCAGTACTGTAGGAATTCTGAACTGAATATGTAAAATAATGAAGATAAGAGTCGTTAAAAATAACATCAGCATTTGAAAAGACTTGTGGAACCCTTTTGGTAACCTCCATGAGCATGTAGCAGATTCATCACGTTACCTCATGTTTCAGCCACTGTGCTGAACACTCCAGGATTTGGAGACACAGTCTGATTCTCATTTTCTCTATTTAAATAATTATGACTAATTTACTAAATAAACTGAATTATGTAATTGAGTGGTCATTAGTAGCAAAGCCAGCTTTAAAGAGCAGGATGGCAAGGGCTGCCAAACAAATGAGGGGCACACAGAAAACATCGAGAATCCGCAAGTGGACAGTGTGGAATGAGACTGGGCACAAGATAATAAGTCCAAATTGTCAAGAGATTCAACTGTGAAAAGTGATTTTTATCAAAAGCAAACAAAAACCCCAGCCATTGAAACATACCAAAATTATGGCAAGTGATTAAAAATAGCCCAGTGTGCTGGTGAACTGTAGCTTGAAAGCACAGTGTCTTACAGCAAGTCTGTTCTTGAGGGTTTCTGGGTGTGCAGCTGACCTGAGACTGCTTTGCTAAAGCATCTTCAGCCCCAGGTCTGTCGTGCTGATTACCTTCAGGAACAGAACAATGTGTTTGCTTTTGAGTGAAACCTGGGAAAAAAACTTCTAAACTGCCAGAGAGTGTTAAAGGTTCTCCCCTGCCAAAAGTGTGGCAATTCAGGTGGACTGTGCTTGCTGCTGTTTCACTCTTCAACAATTCAGTTGAGGTGAAGCATTCTACAGTTTATGTTCTTTCTGCTGAATAGTGTTTTTTACTCTTTTAGGCTGTTTAGCAGCTGACCATCATTGTGTTTTCTAATCTGAACATTTAAAGTCTCTATTTTTTTTTTTACATCAGCACCAATAGTTCCTAAGTCCAGTTCTCTCTAATAACAGCAATGTGAGGTATGGTCAGACAGTAAATACAGTATTTATGAAACAGTATTTTGGCATTCTAAACCTTACCTAATAAAATTTGTACTGTGGAATTGTTTTGGTAAACAAACACATAGTGACAAAGTTAACTGTTATATGGTAATACCTGTATTCTCTGTAGGAGTTTTGCTCATCTCTGCTAAATACAGGTGAACCCAACTAGCATGAACCAAATGTAAGGCTGGTCAGATGCAAACACGACTCTGAGGTGGTGTTAAACACCCATGCACACATACTGATTAGGATATTTCTTTTGGAAATCACTGCTGCCAATTTTAACTCTTACTCTCCCTTCACAGCTTTGAAAAGTCCAGCTGCATTCCATGAGCAGATCAAGAGCCTGGAGCGAGCCAGGGTAAACTACTTTGTGTCAGCTTGTGATTAATATCTGGAAATGGATAGTCAGTTGTGTGTGGTACTAAATTCTCTAAAGTACATGGAAAATTAGCACTACAGGAATAACAGGAATAACATATGTTTTTGTCTTGAAACAACTCATTAAAATAAAATATGGCTGTCAAATCTGAGAGGAACTTTCCTAAGCCTTCACAGATCAAGGTGGGGGATAAACTTATGGTCACAATGTAATGCTCCCCCCTGTTAAGGATGGGATACTTGGGTAAATTATGCTTGTGCAGTATTTCTGTAGCAAATCTAGATTTGTGATTATCTGCAAATCTATATGTGATTATATGGTGGTATGGGATCAAATCCAGCAACATTCCCAACTTGTTTCGGGAAGATAGAAATTCTTTAGCACTGCTTAACTGATAGAAAACAAAAAAGCAAAATGAACCCCATATTCTGACAGTGGTGTCCACTCATCTGCACGAAAGAGCACAGTTCATTGACTGCAGATACGGGATTTATCAAACTATTTGATTTTCTAGTAAACAGTAGTTAATGCCATTTCCCCCTCTCTTGTCAGACGGAGAATTTCCTGAAGCACAAGATCCGCAGCCGGCCGGACCGCTCGGAGCTGGTCAGGATGCACATCCTGGAAGGTACGGCCAGCTCGGCACCCCCTGAGCTGCACAGGGGCTTCCGTGCACTCACCTGTCTGACTGAGTGGCACTGCAAAGGGAGGCATTTCTGAAGGTGCAGCTGCTCTGTTTCTCTGCTTCTACAGCGTATTTGTTTGCTATTGCACATTGATCATAGTCTGTAATGGTAATTATACACGTATGGAGTGCTTATATTGCCTCAGTTCTCACTCATGCCCTAAAATGACCTGATAGTCTTGTGCTTCCCCCTTTATAAAACCTTTAGAATATAAATATAATAATATAAAACCTATAGGAGCTTTAATAAATGACCGTTCCCCTGCTGTGTTACTGTCCCTGTTGCTCAGGTCATTGGAAACAAGTCTCTTTATGAATGGGCTGCATTACTGTGTTTCCCCTTAACCTTGCCAAGTAGAGATTACCAAATAACCATAAGTCAAATGAATTTAATAGCCATTATTTTCCCAAACATGCATTTGAATATTAAATCCTGGTAGGAGCTTCCACATTGATAGATCACATTCATATTGACAGTCTCCATAATTTAACTGAAAAGTAGTTTTGAAGATGCAGATTTGTGCTAGAAGCTATTTTTAAAGGTAAACTTTTAAAGAAATTTGTGAAGAGAGAATCCAAAAATCAGTGGATTAATTAAATTTTACCACAACTCACACTGGTAAACCATTAGAGCAGCAAATGTTCCAGATTATAACTGGCATTTGTTATTTTATATTCTCTGCTCTGTTGTTGGACATTATACAGATGTTTACCAAAGGTATTACTGTGGTTAAAAAGAGATTACATTCCTAGAAAAACACAATCACGGGGATAAACAACATCTACTCACATAATCTTACTTTTGCTTACTAATCTGAGAATTTTCAGAATACTAATGGGCTGCCTTTGATAAAAGTGGCATGGTTGTTGCAAAGGCAAGACAGGGAGAAGCTGGGAGAGGATGTTTAACTGTGTGTGTCCCTTCAGAGACCGTGGCAGAGCCCTCTCTGCAGGCCACTCAGATGAAACTCAAGAGAGCTCGGCTGGCAGATGATCTCAATGAGAAGATTGCTCAGAGACCTGGCCCGATGGAACTTGTAGAAAAAAATATCCTTCCTGTAGACTCCAGTGTTAAAGAAGCTATTATAGGCAAGTAGAAATCCCACAGCTGCTGTTCCTTATCCCCATGGCATTGTAAAATAATAATTTAACTCCTGAGGGTAAAGTTCACTAGAAGGAAACATATGCTAAGTTTATTACTATTTATTCTTTCAGCTTCTGAGTCCTAAACTCTGTCATCATTTTATTAAAGTCATTCTGTTTTTATTGGAAACTTGTAAGTTATATATGTATTTATATAGCTAGAGTATAGTACAGTCTTGGAAAAGAACTGATTTAGTACAAAATAATGGAAGAGCTGTGGCCATTGCTCAGTGTGTTGGAGGTGTCTGTGTGCACCCCACATGTGCTGAACATACCTTTTAATGTCTTACTAAAATCACGTCTGCTACACATTTGGGTTTATCCATTCCTTGAATGTGATTTAATATGGCTGTCATTGCATTCAAACCACAATAATTACGTAGGCACCATATGTTTAGGCTGCTGAAAACTGATCACTTTCCAGCTATTGGCTGATTCTGCTATGAATGTCTAAATTTAATTTGTACAACTAAAAAAAAAATGTGTTTTGTTTGTTTCTTTGTAAACATTCTAGCAGTTGGACAAGAGAATTATCCTCAAGCTTTGGATGATTTTTCATTTGATGAAGACAGCAGTGATGCTTTATCACCAGATCAGCCAGCCAGCCAAGAATCCCAGGGTTCAGCAGCTTCCCCTGGTGAGCCAAAAACCAGTGACTCACCATCACCTGTAACCCCAAATGCTGCTACATCCACACAGGTACAGCTTTTAAATGTTTAAATCTTCACAGTGTGGGTTTGATCTGGAGCTGCAGAAATGGGACATGGAGTGAATCCATCTGCTGCTGCAGAGGGGGCCTGGGACTCCTTTTCTGTTTGGGAGTGCTCAGACTGGAGCCCTGGCTTAGCTGTTGGCAGTGATGAAATTCCTATAGACTGTAGTGAAGCCATAAATTCCCTGAAATTCATTATGACCCATAGAAGATCTGCAGCTTTCCCAGAAGTTGTTTGAAAGGTCGTGGCCATGGTTTACTCCAGCTGTTATTGATTACTTAATGTCTGTCTTTATTCTGAGCAAGGTCTTGAACTCATTAGAATTAAACTGAGCTGAAACAACAGTTGACGTCAGTTCCATTATCTTCAGAAAAGTCCATAAAAAAGGTTTCCCGCAGAATTTAAATATTCTTTCCTATAGTTTTAAAATAGTGCCTAAGGAATTTTCTATTTAAGAAATGAAAATGACATTTATGTTGATAGTTCTATGAGGTTTTTAGTGTTTTTCAAGTTACTTACAAAGAAAGGAAAATAACTGTGTCATGGCAGATAAAATGTTGTCTTTACAGTAGAGTTAATTGTGTGAAGATTTAAAGAGCAATGGATTTGAATCAAAACAACTGTTTTCACAAGAAAAGTGACAGAGAGCTCTTCTTAGAACAGTTAAATTTTTGTGATTTTAAATGGACAGTAACATCACCTGCCCTATCTTTAAATACATTATAAAAATGCTGATGTAAAATAATTTGTAAAAACAGTGATGTAAGAAACATCAAGTGCTACAAATTAATTTCTTTTATCTTCTGTGAGCTACTGAAAGCACAGGTTTATATGCACAAGCATAGCTACCTGGATGCTTTCTAGAGTATCTTGACAGTGCTTGCTTCACAGGTGTTCATCTTCACCTTGGAATTAATCAGTAAGTTTATTCATTAATGAGAGATCCCTGTTTATTTAAAGGTTGCTATGTGTCGTGGTTTTGCCCACTATTTAGCTTAAATAGATTGTTGATGATGGTTTGTGTCATAGCTCAGCTAGTAATTTTAAACTCAGTAGGAGCAGTTAAGAGGAGAGGCTTTGCCTTTAAGTAGATTTCTGCAGCTGGGCAAGGCCTGACCCTGAGCTCCCGTTTCCCCCAGTCAGCCCATTTTCCTGGTGTACATCAACAAAAGCAGCTGTATTATCACAGAGAAATCATTTATGCTTCAGATTGATGCATTTTACCACACTATTCAAGTTTATACTTCAGTACATTATTTAGTAGAAAGACTTGCTTTTTCATCAAAGCATTATATATATATGAAGTGACTTACAAATTATGGCAGTGTAATAATATTGCACTCGGCTTTGTGTACTTGGTACTCTGAAGACCACATTGTGCTGATGACCATGGACACTTGGCAGATGAGTAGTTCAGGGTCTGGAATTGCTCTCCTTGGTCTTCTTATTACCACAGTAGATAGAAAAACTATTGCAAAGTTCACATTCAAAAGCAGCGCTGGACACAAAGTACGGCACTTCCATTTTAGTTGGGTTTCATGGTGAGAGAATATAATTTGTGTTGAATAAATTGAAAACAAACCACATGAAATTAGATCCCTAAGTAACGAGTTAGGTTCCTGATGGAGAGTTAAATAAAAATACTTGAACTAATACAAGCCAAAAGCTTTTCAAGTAGGAAGCATAAGAGAGATCTGTGATTACAGAAACAAAGTAACAGAGCACTTGAATGTGATTGAAAAAGCACTTCAGATACAACTTCAGTCCTTTGCTTATGGATTTCATAAGGTATTAGAGCCACTTCTGTGAGAAGAGCAACATGAGCAGTTGCTCTTTTGCAGAATAAAACAGATGCTTACCTTGTTGTTCCTTCTGAAATAAAGAACAACAGCACAGCAGGTCTCTACAGGAGATGTGCCTGGGAATTGCTCCTTTATTCTTTTAATTTCCTCTGATAAATTTTAAATTTTATTACAATAAAAATAAAAAAAGAATGTTTTGAAAGCAGTGGAGTGTAGCCAGAGTTCTTTGCAAGGCTTCCTCCTCTGCATATTTCCAGACCTCAGAGGATGTAACATAACTTGGAGAACTTCAGCTCTTGTTGACTGGTGACCCAAAACTTGCTTGAACCCATTGAATTTGCATCTGTAAGGATTAGGCATTTTAACCACACTCTAAACAGATCAAATTGTGGTGCTCACAGTCCACAAGACATTAAACAGTTCTCTTCAAAACAGCTGAAGTATTTTACTTGATGGCACTGATACAATGACTGTTTTCTCAACACAGTCACTGTAGCTTGTTGACCTGCTAGATGCTCGTGTGCATCCAGCAGAAAAGGTGCACAAATCGTATTACCTGAAAACAGGGATCTATTCAAATGAAATAACTGTTAGTTTATGAAGTAATCAAGTTAAGAAGTCAAGACCTGTTAAATTCAGTTTTTTGAATTTAAAGACATGTAAAGTAAATTATATGCGTGGTTCATTACCTCATCTGACACTTGCAGGTAAAATTGGAAAGTCTGTAAAAAGCTTTGTGTTTTATGTAGCCATTAATCCTTTGTAGGTCAAGATAACAACTAAGTAAGGAAAAAGTAATTTACTTTGGCAGGAGGAGAATGTTTAACACCACGATTTTCACACAAAGGGAATTAAAGAGGTGATTTGTTTTCTTGGTGGTGGGTGGTTTTATTGTTGTTTTGGTTTTGTTTGATTGGGGTTTTCTAATTTACTAACTTTTTCAGTTTTAAGAGTTTTGTTGTGCTGTCATCATGGATTTGTTTTCATAGCTTATAAAAAGTAGCTAAATATGTTTGAAGTCAAGTTATTTGTTTGGCTTCAAGAAGGATTAGAATGATGAATAGTTAAAGATTATGTAATGAATAAGCTGAAGTAGCAAACATTTAAAATGCCTTTTAGTTGGGACTTCATGAAAAGAAAACTGAAGAAATAGAAAATCTCGAGGTCTCTGGAATTCCTCTGTGCTTTATGGTAATATGGTACAGGACACTTTGATTCAAAGACAAACTAAGTGCTTTTTTAACTTCTGCTGCTGTGACTAGAATATGCCTTTTAAACTTGATAGCAACAGCAGAGCAGTGTGTTGGAATACAGCATCCAGAACCCTTTTCAGAGGCTAAGTCCCTCTAACATCCCCTGGCAATTCCAGCAAATAACAGACCCTGTGTAGGTATCAGACACTTTCCAGAGCAAACACTTTGAAACTTGGAAATAAAAATAGAGACATCTTTAGCCCCCCCCCCCAAGACTGACACAGCCCCAGGACAGGCACGTGTACAATGTTTCAGTGACTGGGCATATTAAATCCTGCAGTCCTCTGTGGTACAATCTCATGGAAGAATAGTAGAGTATGGGAAAAATGAACTGGGGAGAAGTGCCTGCTGGACTTAATTAGAGTGCAAGTTTTAGAATTAATTTGGAAGAAAAAGGATATTTAGTGAAAGGAATATACAGGAAAAAGAAGGGGCTTTTAAATAAAAGATTACCAGAAATGAGACACAAAGAGGGAATTTTTGGGTTGAAAGGAAATTGGTAATGGTGTCTATGGGAGTTGATTTGGGGACATTCTGATTTCATGTTACCATTAACAACCTTGACGTAAGAATGGGTCACCTAACAAAAGTAGGAAGCATGGTCAGCACACAGTTGGGTTGTTATTGTGCAGAAAGAGCTGGTTGGTGTGGCTTTTAGGAGAGAAATGGAATTGCAATAGAAGGAGCAAAGCCTTTCCTTCTGATGACAAAGGACTGTGGAATCCTGGGGACTCCTGCCTGCAGAGGAAACTGGGCACAGGCACTTTGGGGCAGTGTTTGGCAGTGACTGGGGGCTGCTGGGGCCCTCCCTTAAAATCACAAGTGTGTCAGAAGAGATGATTCCAGTAGAAGTGTTAATGCCACTGTAAGGATCCAGGGAGCCCCTACATGGAATATCGTGTATGTTCCCAGCTGCTTATATCCAGGAAAGCCTAAGAAAACTGTTACACAGTTACCTGTAACAGGTAAGGATGAGCAGAGAATGAAAAATGTCCTTGTGAGAAAAGAATAAAAATTCCTTCATATGTCTAGGATCACAAGGGCTGAGATCTGTTTATGTACAGAGTCTGTATCCCATCAGAGGGATATTTACCACAGAAGGAAATTTTAAGGTTTTAAATCAGAAAACAATTTCAGCACAATAAAAATTGGTATGACAAATTTAAGCTGAGCAAAGTTTGATTTTTATGTAGGAAAACTCTGGGGACTTTTGTGGTAGGTGTAGTGGTGTCAGGAAAAGAATAATAATAAAGGCCTAAGCCTATATGGAATTATAATAGTTTATAGAAGAAATTACAGACATGATGTTTGTAACATCAAGGAACAAACTCCTGGATTGTACCTGCACAGTATCTTACACTTGTGCTGGCACTCAGGTACAGAAGAAATGTAGTCAGAGGTGGGGTTCTGACTTCATAGACAGGAAATACTGAAAGCCTCAAATTTATTATGCTAAATCAGTGTTTCCTTAGCAAACTAAGTAGTCAAGGTAAGAAAGTGGTTTATTTGCTATGTTTGAAGTGTGCCAAAATGAGCTTTATAGAACACTTGTAGGCATGCACATGAAAGAGTTGTGTTTTCACCATTCCTTCTAAAAATATTTTGTGGCTTTGACATGATAGTAAATTGTCTTAACCTTTTCACCTTTTTTTCAGTTACTCAGGTGGTGGATGTTTTTAATGTTTCTCTTTTTCCTTATATTTTTTTAATACTAGTATCCACCTTTAACCTCTCCAGTTCCTGAATTTCTCAAAACTCCCTCAACAATCGAACAGCACGTCACACGTTCCACTGCTGCCACCACCCTGACCACAAGCACTGTCTCTGCAGCAAAGCCTGGGCCAACCTTAGTGAAGGTGGGTACTGTGCCCTTGGCATCTGAGGACAACATTCCTTCTCTCTGTCCTTTTCCAGTGCTGTGTTTAATGGAAAAGTCCTCGAGGAAGGTTAGAGTGCCTGTAGCTAACAATTAACTTCTGCCAGTGGTCAGGGGACACACGGGGTTGGTAACTCAAAGCTTTTGTGTGCTAAGGTCAAGTAACACTTGTAGGGACCAGCTCATTACTCCAAGAGGTCCCTACAGTACAGCTGACAGAAGTTTGCATGCAGAATTATGCATTACATTGCTTATGGAAGCAATTTTTAAGAAATAAGGACAATACCGACTTTCTGCTTTCTATTGGTGAAATGAATCTCTTCTAACCTGGTTCTGTATGGAGAATCATTTAATAGGATTTTGCATTCATAGTCTACCTGTAACCAAACTGGTGAAAAGCACTGCCCCTTTTCCAAACCTATTTTCTTAGCTGATTTAATGTATGAGCAGAAGGCACAAGAGAAGTTACTGTATCCTTCTGTTTTAATATCTGAAGAACATACTCAATTGTCCTTCTGCACTGACCTGGCCAGCAGCACAGAAAACCATTTCAAATACACTGAGGGAGGGGTTGTGTTAGAAGAAGTCTATAATGTTTCAGTAACTTTGCTGTCTTCAGCTATGTAATGAATATATGTATATAGACTTCTACTGACTACCACAAATGAGCTCAGTTAATTTACCAGGATGACCTCTAGCATTTCTAGCGTAAATTTGTGGTATAAAGTTCTAGTATATCCTATATATCCTTTGAAGACACTGGACTCACAGCAGCTTACTTAATGCAGGACCCTAATGACAAATTCAGATGTCCCCCAGAACAGGCTATATGTGTGTAATAAATGTGCATGGATCAACACAGCATTTCTGCTTTGATACCTTCTGTATGACTTGGTAACTGCCTTCCATTTGTCACTCTAAGTAATTTGGAAGAACCTATAAAGGAAGAGAATTTTCCACTTGAGCAGGTATTGCTAATAAAGATATTGCTGAAAGTTTCATAAGAGTAATCCTGTAGTTTATAGGACTTTTAAGACCTCTAAGTGCCTCTGATGTTTACAGATGGGCTTTGGGATCCTGGCTTTCACTTGCACGAAGTGCTAAGTGGCTTTGAATTACCTGTTTAAGAGCGATGCCTCTTTGCAGTGACAGGTCATGACTAGGAGAATCCCTTACCTTTATTTGTGCTATCTCTTAAAAAGCAGTCACCAACTGTGTCTTGTGAGCCCTTCTTGTGCAGGGTGTCAGCCAGCTGGAGTACATTCACCTTGCAGGATGGGAGATGGTTCTCTGGGGAGGTTTGCAGGATAGTTGTGTTCAGCAGCTCTTGGCAGTGCATGTGCTCAGTGAGCCTTAGCTCTGCACCAGGCATAACTGCTTTAAATGACATCTGTTGTAGCTCTTTCAATCTTTCTTTTCCATCCATAAACAGCAAAGCCACCCAAAGAACCCAAATGATAAACATCGGAGCAAGAAATGTAAAGAACCCAAGCCAAGGGTGAAAAAATTGAAGTATCATCAATATATTCCACCTGATCAGAAAGGTGAGAAAAATGAGCCACAGATGGACTCCAACTATGCTCGTCTGCTACAACAGCAGCAACTGTTTTTGCAGCTGCAGATCCTGAGCCAACAGCAACAACACTACAACTACCAGACAATTCTGCCTGCACCGCTGAAGTATGTGAAGCATTGTTTGTGTCCTTTACAGAAAAGACATTTACATCATTTATAGGCCTAGTGCTTTACAAGGAAATGTGGTTTGCAGTTGTTGAGATCGTTGGAACCAAGAAAACTTACATGGCATTGTGCACCACTGGGGGTATTATTTGCCTCATTTAACAAGGTGATGAGGTGGTTCTCTTGTTAAAATATTCCTGAACTCTGATAAGCCTTGAAGTAGTCCTAGGTTTTTGTGTTTCACAGAAACAGAACCTCTTACCTTGTCAGGTGCATTTTTTCTGACTAGATGAATATTTGAAACTCAGAAGTTTTGACACCATTTTCACTCGAATATGTTGTAGGTGGGCAGAGCAGAAGAGGTTATAGACAGTGTCTTTTACAATGACACACACTATTATTGTGGTTTTATTCTCTTTTTACATCTGTTTCACAAAACACATTCTTGCAGTTTACAATAAGACATAACAGTCATTTTAAATGAGGTAAGATCTGTATATTGTTTATAGCCTCATCTGTAATGCTTATGTGATTCCTCATCAGTGTTGATCCTTAGCACTTAACAGTGAGAAGTACACTTGCTGATTTATAGGCAGAAGCAGTCAGAAAAATAAATGTTTAAAGAGTTGCCAGCACGCCATGGCAGAATGAGCTGTTTCATTCTCATCATCTAAGACCAGTCATTTCCTAGAAATGCTAAAGTGTAACATGCCACAGTCACACAACCCCAAATTAAATGACTTTCAACTGGTTTTTAAATGAGTTTTCACTCAGTTATTTTTCCTCAGCAAGTGAGGCTAGAAAAGTTAAAGCTGCCATCTGTGGTTGTATTTATAATTACCATGTATCCTAACATTTGGCCTAGTGGTGTTTCTGCCTGCTTACCCACGCTTCTTATGTTCCATTTACTGACATTTCAGAAACATTTCTGCAGAAATCAGCTGAACCAAATAAAAGAGCTGACTTATGGTACCCAGTGTAAATGATGGCATTTTTAATTTTTTTACCATTACTTTGAGATCCTTGTACGAGATTCTTCTTTTGAGTACAACTGGTAAAAATGCATTCTCTTCCACATAAACTGCCTTACTGTGTGTGAACGTTGGACATGGATGTAGGGTTGATACACAGAGTTCAATATTGAGGGGTTAAAAAACTAAGTAATTGTCCTAGCTGATGATTAATTTGTATAACTTGAGGTTGCAGTCCATAGTATCCTTTGGGGATACCATGACAACAGTGAAAACTATGAAGCATAAATTAGTACACTTAACTGCACAGAAAATAACATATCAACATACCACTCTCTGTTACGTTTTCTTGTCTGTGTTGTCTTACATTTAATAGTAATGTCTTATGTTAAATATGTATTTGCAAAAAGTTAATTTGTTCATTAGTTTGATAGACATTAGATTGAGAATTTCTTGGTTGAAAACAGTATCATTAGCATTGACATTATTGCCCCTCTTTTTCTTATTACTTGAAGGCCACTGAATGACAAACAGAGTAACAATGGGAACACGCCACTGAACACTCTGAACAACAACAGCACCCCAACATCAGCTGCCAGCTCCCCCAGGCAGAACAGCAGCGTGCCCAGCAGGAAACCTGGACCTCTGCCTGCCAGCCTGGACGACCTGAAGGTAAAGGATCCGAGGGATCTGTCTGTTCCTGTGCATTACTGCAGGTCTTTAGTTGCAAACTGTGGCTGTCAAGAATAAGCCCAGTTGTTGTTACCAGTGCAAACTGTCCTTTCCTCCTGATGTTTAGAATAAGAGTGTCAAGTTTTTCATACACAACTCTTCTGATTTTAAACCTTTGTTTTGATTTGGCTTCCTCACATGCATATGTTCTAGAAATGACATTTCTTTCCCAAAGAGTTAGAAGAGGAAGTATTTCAGACACATTGTATAGGTACCTCATTTTGATCCCTTGGGTGAACTGTAAGGTTCACTTCATGTGATGTTTTAGCCCAGGCAGATTAAACACTGGAGCAGTAGTTTCCTCGTGACAATTGCAGAGGTTTAGTTAAGCAGTATAAATTAAAATTGCCCTAATAAAAACATGTTCAGAGAGGTCACTGCTATAAAGCCAACACAGAAACAACACCAGTAAAAGAGAATAGAAAGTAAGAGATCTTCTTACAGGGTTCAACACATCATCTGAAAATGAATAGTAGATTTTGTAGAAGTTTCTTGATGTTATAAATCACTGTGTAAACTGTTTAAACTGCACTGTGAAGGCACTGCATAGGATTTTGTTCCTTCAGAAATACATGAACAGAAAATCATTCTGTGAGGGACGTAATGAAAGCGAACCCAAGGAGCTTGTGGGGGTTTGAGATTGAGCTCTTTGCAGGGACATGCCGAGCCTGAGCGGCGGGGTAGGGACATCTAGTGGGCAGTTCATTCCTTCCTCCCGGCCTTTCCCGAGGGCTGGCTTTGGGAGGGGTGGACTGAGGATTGCTTTAGATTTGAAGGGGTAAGAAAAAGAAGTTTTGGAAGATCATGTGGTGGTGGTTTTACCACGGAATAAGCTGAATCAGTTCTGATTGAGAGTTCAGAAATGGATTGTTGGAAAACAGAAAACTTAGAGCAGACTGGGGGAAACAGCTGATAGTCATTGTTTGGTAGAGTTATTTAACAGAAAATTGCTGTGGTTTTTAGAGATGTAAAAGGTATTGCTGTGACTTTTTATCATTTCCAAATCACAAGGACCTCCAACTTAAATTCTAGACTGGCTAAGGACTGAAACGTTCCTGAGGTCACTGCCTTTTATTCTATTAGAGGTAGCTCTGACACACAGATAGCCCAGCTCTGCAGTTAGCTGCGGTGTATGTTCATCATAAACAAAGCCAGTCATTGTGACTGTTCTTTTTTAATTGATATTTTGAAGCACATAATTAATTTACACTCAACACATTTGCACTTTACTTTTTCTAAAAGCTTATTGGAAAACTGAGAACATTTTTCTATCAGAAATTAATTTTGACTCCTTATACTGTCTCTGTTTGTAAAAGAAACCCAGATGGCACATAGCTGTAACTGTTTGGTTGCTAATTAGCAGGAGAGCCTTTTGTGTTTGATGGGTCTATTGAGTCATCCAACTGACCTGATAAAGTTTCTCAGAAACAGATCTGTGTGTCTGATGGTGGAACAAAGGGGTTCAGCGTGGTGCTGTTCAGTGCTTTAATCAGCAGCACTGCTGCCATCATCTACAAGTTTTCTCCTCAAGTTTTTAGCTCAGAACTGAAGCTTTTTGTGCATTTTTTCCATTTTAAATATTTATCATAAGTTTGCTACTGATCTTTGTACAGTGGAACGCTACTAAGATTTTGGCCACTTAAAGAGTGAAGTAGGTAGCAGGTCATGGAAATGTGGTCATGGATCATGCATGCTGCCAAAACCTAGAGGTGGAATAACTAGCAAAAAATGAATTTTCTCATTAAGATGTAATAAAGTAGAATGTATATCAGCAAGTTTAAATCTTTTTTATTATCATGCTTTATTGCAGGTAGCAGAGCTTAAAATGGAGTTGAAATTGAGGGGATTACCAGTGTCTGGAACAAAAACAGATCTCATTGAGCGTCTGAAAACCTACCAAGATCTTAACAACAACGGGGTCGCTACAAGTACCTCTGTGACAGTAACCACTTCTGCTGGGGCCACAGGTAACACGGGGGAAGTGACTGTGGCATTTCCTGTCGCAACACTAAATAAACCAGTGGCTAATCCGATATCCAGCTTCCCTCCAGAAAAAACATCTACTGGAACTGGCAGCAAAGTAGTGAACACTGAAAACATCAGCTCTCCTTTGCCTATATCCCCCTCTCCCTCAGAACAGTCGAGTCTAAGCACGGATGACACGAGCATGGCAGATACTTTCACGGAAATGATGACCATGATGTCACCGTCGCAGTTCTTGAGCACATCCCCCCTGAGAGCAAACGCGAGCGATGACAACCAGAGCCGCAGCAGCATCTCAGCCATAGAGCTGGATGTGGCAGAAAAGGACCGCAAGCTCCAAGAGAAGGAGAAGCAGATTGAAGAGCTCAAAAGGAAACTGGAACAAGAGCAAAAACTTGTGGAAGTATTGAAAATGCAACTTGAGGTTGAAAAACGGGGACAGCAGCAACAATCTCAGCCTTCTGGGAACTCGGCTGCGTTGGAACAGAAGCAGTTCATTGCCGCTGTCAAGGATGAAACTGCTCCTGCTGACTGCTCGAGTACCGTTCAATCCGTACCTGTGGCCAGCCATTCCTTAGGACAGGCAGTGTACACTACTGCCCAGAATCCAGTTGCCAAAAAGGCAGTTGTTATCAAGCAGGAGATAGCCGTGGCCAAAGCTGAACCTCAGAATGCCATTTCTCAATTTTATGTTAATCCACAGAGGCAGCCTCAAACTGCAGTTGTTGCCCAACCTCAAGCTTTATTAACTACCCAAGGAACTGCACAGCTGCTCCTTCCACTGTCTATCCAGGGAGCGAATTCTGCCACTGCAGTGCAGCTACCAGTTGGAAATATCAAGTTGCAGGTAAGGGGGTTTCTATTTTTCATCATGTAAACTGCATGCCACTATCTTTTAATTTAGTGTAAGGAGGTAAATGTGCTGCTTGTAGGATTAACTTAAAAATCAGGCTTAGCCTGTTTCTGCTTGAGAGAAGTGGCTGTTGTGCTGTGGGCTGAGACCTGATGCAGCATGTGCGCCATCATATTCAGCAATCCTTACAAGGGATGGAAGCATGCTGGGGATGGGCCCCACAGTCCACAGTGCAAGATCTACACACCCAGATCTCCATCTGAATTGTGCTAAAATCCTGGTAGAATTCTGTAAGAACATTAAGCAGCTTGTTCTGGTGTTTTACTTTACTGATATTCCAGAAAGTTGTCTACTACCAGCTGAATTTGTCTTTCATGAGGCTAGACACACTTCTTGCCTTCCACTGGCCATTAAAAACTACTGTGATCTTCTTAAAAACAACCTTTTTCTTGCATCAGTACTTTTGTCTTCTGGTTACTCAAACCCAGTTCTTCTAGTCCTTTCTTACTGATTTATGCCCTCTCTGTCCCTTGTTATTTTCACTGCTATCCACTGGACTCTCCAGTTTGTCTTTATCTTTCTTAAACTCTCTTGGCAAAATAAACATCACCTTTTGGCTGGGAACTCCCCAGCACCAAACAGTAACAATTTTGTTTCCTATGCACAGTTCAGGCTCATCCTTCCCAGAACACAGGCTATTGCTATTCTGCATAATCTGTGCCATAGGTTTTTACATGATGTAACTCACTGTGAGATACAAATAATAAAAATATTTTATCTTCGTCCTTTAGGCTCAATCACAAGCTGGAATACAGACCCCATCACAAATTCCTGCTCCCATTTCTTCCTCTGGCCTGGTCCAGACAGCTCCTCAGATGCACACTGCACAGTCAAACCAAAGCCCCAGCACGCAGCACGCACTCGCTCAGACCCAGCAAGTCAGAAAGGTTTGTGCATGGCAGTAAGCATTAAGATAAATAGTGGTGTAATCTAATCCCAGGCAGTGCTTTTAGAATCTTGTATGTGTCCTCTGTGTTATATATAAATGAGCAAGTCACCTAACACTTGTATCACATTTGTGTGGGGTACAATGGGCTTTTAACTCCCCTTTCCAAAAATTTTGTTAGGACTTTATTTTTCAGTTGCAAATAAATACGTAAGTCTAAAGACTTTTTGTCCTAATGGCACTCTTAGGGCATGACTCTTACTATGTCCTTCCTCATGCCTGGCACCAGTGGAGTAACAGGTATTCCACTCAGTTCCTCTTATTTGCCATTGACCCAAAATGGAAGAGTCTTACAGGCAGTTCTCCAGAGAAAGCTTTTACCTGTGGCTTCAGAGATTTATTACTTTATAGAAATTCCTTTTAGTTTTCTTAATTACCTTGTTGATTCATCCTTACTTATGAAGAAGTATGGACTCAGATACTGAGGATGGCAATTCCAGTGAGCCAGAACTCCATCATACCTCTTCCTGAGGAATGCAGGGAATTTAGAGAGAGATCCTCCTCTTCCCCTCTACCCAAAACAATCAGCTCTGTAATGTCCCATTCCAACAGATGTTCATCAGCACTGGATGTACAGTTGTGAGTACCAATCCAGTCATGTTCATGCGGTAACTGATAGCAACCCCTCAGCACCAGTCATCACCAAAGAAAAGGTTTTCTCCTCCTCTGAGCCTCTTCCAGGCTGACTCTATGATTAGGAACTTGGAGATTAGATTTGGACCTTCATTGTTTCCTTATCAGTGCTATTGATTATAGGACTCATAGTACTTAGGACAAGGAGGCTTTTCAGCCTGCCTGGAGGAATAATTGAAATTCAGGATGAAGAGGGTAATTGCTACAGTGTGGTGTGCAACTGTTACAGAATATCTCAGCCTTCCAAGTTTATATTTCAGTTTGCAAAAGTGCATCATGAACCCCGTGTGATCTGGGGATTGGACCTGTGCAGTGTCACCAAATCTGCTTCTGCTCGGGCTCTAGATCCAGATAAGAATTGATCTTAGAAGAGGAATGGTTGTGCCTCGCCATTCTCTAGAGAGCTGGCTAACAAAGGGAACACCACTCAGTGGGCATCAAAGGGCATTCAGACAGCTTGTTCAATCTGTTTAATTTCATGGGCAGTGAGGTTATCCTACAGATGTCAAAACTAACCTCTATCCAAAAAGCAGATGTCAGGGATTCTCTGGGATTTGGTGAGAGACTGATCTTACCTTGTTAATTCAACAGGTCCTATACAGAAATTTTCCAGTCATCCTGAGGCTCGTGCCAGAGACTAGCACCTTGCTTCCTTTGTTGCCTGGAAGTTCCTTGAAATGTCTGCAGGACATAACCCAGAGTTGTACCCTCTGATCTTCCCCCTTTCAGATCAGTTGTCATGAAGAGCACACAGTTCCCAGCAGAGTTGCCTCTGACCAGGCCATGCTGGAGCTGCACATGCTGCCTGTCCTGGCTGGTTTTCTCCCATGTCTCCTGCCCTGCTTTACACATAAGACCAGGCAGCAGAACTGCACTGCTTTTTACATCAGAACGTAAAAGCTGCTCTTCATCTCCCTTTAACTCAGAAGTATGAGAAGTAGGATGCTGCTTGGAATCATTTCTAATGAATGTATGGACTATGAGTTGACAAAACGAGAAGTCTGTTACACCAGTAACCAGATTTATAGTTGATACCCATGGTCATCATTTATATCTTTTGCCTCTCCCTCAGTCCTCATAGATACCCATAGTTAAAAAGTGGCACAAACCAATTGTTTTGTCTTAAAAGTGGCAGCACAGGACAGGTGTGGATACGTGTACAAGTTTGTATCAGGCCAGAAATAAATTCATGTTAGTGACTGTCCACTAGGTGGGGAAATCATGGATATGCTATTGAAGTGTTCCATAGACTTTGGAATGTATTTTGGAAAAATTATATTACCCTTTCCTCATGCTTCCTGGGAAACCAGAGGAAAATATTTCTAGTTATCAGTGAATGAAAGTGTGTCACAGCACAGAGCTTCTTTCAAAGACCAGTTGTTCTGGACTTATAAATTACTCCACTGGAGGGAAAAATCAGTATAAATTACATTCTTCAACAGAGAATTTAAGCAAGCAAGTACTTCAGAAGAAAAAGTTTTCATTAATGTTATTTACCCAATGTTACTAATTTTTTTTTTAAACCTACAATCTAAAACTGATCTGTTAATCCTTTACAGGTTTTCCCACCTACCACATCAAATGCAGTGTTTTCCTATCAGACTGCACCAGTTACAACACCGTCACAATCTTTTATTAATAAACCATCCAACTCTAACATTCACACTGGTGGTAATCAGGTCCCCCCTGTGCAGAATGGACCTGCTACTCCCAGTAAGGTAAGGTCAGCCCGACAGTGTTCCACACAGTTCAGTTTTATGTTCTTATTCCTATATAACATGTGACTGTATATACTGCAGTTCACTCAAGGAAGAATGTTTGTAGATTTTAATAATGCTTATAATGTTCATATGTGCCAGACAGAAACTCTCATTTCATCCCTCTGATTACCTACACTAATATGTAGAATAATAATAATCATAGAACTTGGCATGTCCTGAATTCCCTGAAGTATGTTATTTAGTCAGGACTTTTTGTTTCCCACAGCCTGGCTCCCCATCTCAAGCCCAGCCCTACATTGTGCAGCAGCCCCTCTTCAACAACACAGCGTCCAAGACAAAAGACCCTCCTCGTTACGAAGAGGCCATAAAACAGACCCGCAGTATTCAGACACCACACCGTGAGGTGGTTATTTTCTCCTGTTTAGTCTGTTAAAAACATTGTTTCTCTCTAGAACTATCAAAACTATTGCTTATTTTAGGTTTGTTTTAATTTGGTGTCAAGTTTTTCTAACATACGTACCCTGTTATTATTTTCATAACTATGTCTAGCTACAGAACTCCCATTTCATTATTCTTATATTAGAGCAAGTTTTACAACACCTTTAGTTTTGAGACCTTCATAAAAGTTTTCACTTTTTCTAGTTGGGAAAGAATGGGTTTGTGGGGAGTTTTGTTACCTTTTGCTTAAGGTTCAGATATTCAGGAGATGGCTGTTTAAAACAGAGATAAGAAGTTCCTGAAAGCTTAATTCCCCTTTAAAAATAAAATAAATTATTACAAATTGGGAGGAAAAAAAACAAACATGGCCAATAAAATGGATCTTACGTGGTGGCCATTCACAGACAGTCTCTGAGGGAAAGCAGTTCAGGGTGCACCCACCCGAGTCCTGCAGTTATGACTGTCCTGGTACAAAACAGGATTAGTAGTTCTCCTCTGATCCCTGGTTTTCTGCATCCCTGGGTTGCCTTCATGAAATCTTTGTCATGCTTTTCAGATTTTTTTTCCTGTTCCTTTGTACTTAAACAGACCACAGGGATTACAAGTGTCTCTCCAAACTATTTCTCTGTTTTCTAGATAGACAATTGTATATTAAGCATTTTAGTCTTGATCACAGGTTATACTTATGTACTATTGAGAGAAGCCAGGAATTAGTTAAAAATACTACATGAAAGAGAATAACCCTGGTTTTCTCCTGCACTGCAGATTTCCAGTGCACACAGTCAGCAGATGGATGATCTGTTTGATATTCTCATCAAGAGTGGAGGTAAGCTCATGGACATCTGTGGGATGCAGAGATTTAAACCTGGTCATAAAAACTCAGTGCTACAATCAAAGAAAGAATTCCCTCAGGGAGTAGAGTTAGAAGCTATCCAGCCTGGATGAAGCTAAATTTCTGAAAGTTTGCAATAATTACCAATTAAAGAAAAGATTTGCCAAAACGCATAGAGTCAACCTGCTGTGGAATGTCACTACTTGCACATTAATTCAGGGAGGCCTTTGCAACGTGAATAATCTGTACAGCATTCAAATGATTAAAATAACACCTCAGATTAGCAGAGATATATTTTATCAAAATTGGAAAAGTTGAGCAAGTCCATATAATGTTTATTGAAATTATAAAACAAATAGAATAAGGTAAGAGTTAAAGCACGTTGATGCTAAAATTTCATTAAATATAACCATGTTTTATCAACTATAAACATCAAAGATGCATTCCTGGGAGAAGTACGTATGAACTACATGAATGAATAACAACTTTATGTCAGCTAAAATAAGGGAGCTACCAGAAAGGCACTGGAATAACTAAAGTAATACAGGAATAGCTTGGCAATAAAAGGAGGCTTTCAGGCATAATTAGGCTTGGTAGACTAAGGAGCCATTACAATCCTGGGAAGTGCTGTGGTGCCAGGCAGTTCAATCAACGTAATGGCTTGTAACTGCTGTCATGGTAGATCTTGACAGCAGTGAATGCCAGGACTGAAGTGACTGATTGGAGGCTCCTGGAAGATTTTAGCCATATTCTAAACATCAGAGTATTTTTGCTTTTTCAAAGCAAATTGCAAAGTGAGCTGAAGAAAAGGTGAGTAGACAGTGACAGACTGAGACAAGTGACCCGTGCAGTGAACAACTCAAGCTAAATTAAAACATGCTCTCAGTGCTTTTATTAAAATATTGCCCAGGTAGTTCAAAGAATTTCTGCCTCTGGAACAGGGAATGCAGGAAACATTGATGTGCTTACTTCAATATTTGCTCTGAGTGTTATGTTACTAAACCTGTTTGATCTTAAAGGTGACAACTGCTCCATATTTGCGAAGTTGCATTAAAAAGGCAGATGATTCCTGATCATCTTAATGAAAAAACAAAGTAAAGCATTCAGGGGTCTTGTACTTAATGTAAGCAAGCTATGCACTGGAAAATGTTAAGTTTACTAATCTATTTCAGGAGAGTGAGAATGTCTGTTCAGTAAGCATTTAATAGATGCTCTTAAAGGTTTTAAGAATGTGGGTTTTTGCTTGGAAAACCAGCGCAGAATATATTGTCAGGTATATTTTTGCTGGCAGAAACATCACCTTGTGCTAGAGGGTTTATTTGCATATCCTGGTCTGTCTTATTTTTAGACTTCATTCACATCTAAGAATAAATTGGAACTTATGCCTTATTTCCTTTTATTGTTACTGCCACTACCTTACATGGAATTTCTTGACAGAAGTGTAGTTTAAGATTCTAGAATCAAGAATAAATGCATCCTGATCACACCAGTGGGCACAATATTAACAGGGATGAAACGGAAAATTGGTTTGGGTACTCGTCTCTAAATGAGGAAATGTGTTGGTACCATAATTATTCTAGTTCGTCAGCAGAACAATAAATATGAAGGAGGTAAAGCTAAATCTGGAAATATGTTCCATTTTTCATCAATATTCATATGCTAATTGGCTGATGTATCGCTGAAAGCAGAACTCTGGAACTGGTTTTAAAATACTTTGTTGGTCATAGGGTTTCTGTCAAAGGCTGATGTGTGGAGTGTTAGTATTGTCAGAGCAGCAGAGTGACTCCTACTCCATTTGCTGTGGTTGCATCCCAGAGTGGGCAAAGAGGGAGTGAAAGTTGTCAGCATGAGGATGTTATGTCATTGCCTTTTCTGAATTCAACAGTGGTTTGTTTGGTTTTTTTTTTTAATTACAGAGATTTCCCTTCCAATAAAGGAAGAACCATCTCCCATATCTAAAATGAGACCAGTAACGGCCAACATCACTACAATGCCAGTGAACACAGTGATATCCCGTCCACCTCCACAAATCCAAATGGCCCCTCCTCCTGTGTCCTTAGATCCAACCACCAATTTGTATGTAAGTTTGGAAAACCAACTTGAAGCCCTTTTGGATGGAACTTTACCATCAGGTAATGAAATTCCTCAACTGACAGGCAGTAATGAGGACAGAGAGTCCTTTTCTCTGATTGAAGACCTCCAGAATGATCTGCTTAATCACTCAAGCATTTTAGATCACTCTCATTCACCCATGGAAACATCTGACCCACAGTTTACCACTAACAGTTCTTGTCTGTCTCTTGACCTTCCCGATACAAATTTGGACAATATGGAATGGCTGGACATCACAATGCCCAGCTCCTCATCTGGACTCACCCCTCTCAGTTCTGCTGCCCCGAGCGTGTTTTCCACTGACTTTGTAGATCCACAAGATCTACAGTTGCACTGGGATTGAGCTGTAGCCAATGAGAACACGACCTGCAAGTCTCTTCACAGCAGGGGTCCATTATCATACCATCCTGATTGTGGTTCAGATAAATTAGAACAGTAATGTTTGGAAGAACAAATGCTTGAAGCTGATTCCTTATTGATTTCCAAGTTTACAACAGTGAATTACTTTATGCACGTACTGGTAATGCAGATCAGGGCCCTCTGAAAGCTGTATTTCACTAGAGAGGATGATTGTACTTACTGATTAAAAGTACCCCAAGGTAAATGCATCACAAATATTTAAGAAAGAAGTTATGTCTCTGACTTTGTAATGCTTAAATGAGCAACACAATGTGGCTAAACTTGGAGTGAGATGTCAACTGTCTGTATTGACACAGTGAGCAAATGTCTGGGGGAGGGGAAGGAATCACTGCACTTCATTGTTCCTGTGGACAGCCTGAGCCAGGGTCAGAATCCATTGGGAGGGCAAAGGCAAGTAGAAGCACTGGCTGGTTCAGTGAAACTTCACATATCTAGTCTCTTAATTTGTTCAAGTTGTTTTTATATTTTGGTTTTGTGGTTTTTAAAACACTTCCCCCATTCTTTAATCATGAGGGAGGAATTTAACTGCATCCAAAGGGATATTAAGTGTAACTGCAAGAAATCCACTGTAGCTACACCAGGTAATATTGAGAACACTGAATTTTCTATAGCAATGCTCTGGATTTAATAGATAGGTTTTAATGTGTATATCAGACGTTATTTGTATACTCTTTTAACGTTATATAGCTTATTTTTGTGGACAGAGGGGAACACAGTGGTCTTCAAACAAGAGATTACTCTAGTGGAAATAAATATCCTACTTCGTTTTGTGTTTGAGGATATTTGTTAGATCATTGAATCCAGTATCTCAGCAGATTAGAACAGTTTGAGGAAGTAGAAAAGTTTAATTAATGCTTTTGTACACTATGATCCTGCAAGCATCTATGCAAGAACAGTCCCAATGCCCCCAGTAAAAGGTGTTTGTAGGATGAGGTCGAGTTGCAGGGGACAGTACTGACAGGACAACCATCATTTCTTAAGGAGTACTTTATCTGTTGAACAGTTTTGTCTACCACTACATAACATCAGGGAAGCCAACAGAGAAGCTGCTCAGTGAGAATCCTAATGTATCAGGATGTACTGTTTTGTGATAAGAAGGCATATTTCATACCTGAAACAGATAATAGCAAAAATTAAGCTCTTACCTCACAGCACAGCACATGAAAATACTATTTTTTTAAAGCCCTCGGTTGTTGTCTTCAGAGTCTATTATGAAAGCAGTTAGAAAGACAAGCAAAAAATGCAAATAGAATTCATATACTTTGACATTCTATGGTTGTCTCTCAGGTAATAGCTGTTAAATGTTGCCATAGATGATGGAGGCTGATAATCAAATAAAATTGGAATTATTTCTTACTAGGGAATTCTTAAATTAAGATAAAAGGAAACAGTCCCCTGTTTCCTGAAATAGGGAAACATTTTCTAGTCTGAAAACTGATCTCATTGCATGGTTCTTTCTTCCCCACTAACCTACAAGAATAACATTTTGTAGGAATGAATGAACAAATGCCCTGAAGCTCTTGCTTCCTTCTTAGAACAATGACATGTATCAAAGAAATGCTGGAACCAGAAAGTAGCTGTTACCTATATAGCAACCTTTATCCCATTTTAAAAACCACAATCAGTTAACATCAAACAAAAATCCTTTTGTCAAAAAGTTTTGTAGAATTAACTGCAAATTTATACCTCCAGATACAATGCAGCCTGGTTTACTACTACTACAGAATTCCCTTGGCTTCAGATAAAGTAGTGGATTATGTCATCAATTCAGGGTTTAAACCATATCATATGTTTGCATCATATCAGTTACAGCACTTTAAATCCTTCTATCTCTTCACTAGTTTTACTGGCCAAGATTTACTTCAATATGAAACTAAGTACAGCAAAACAATCAATGGAGATTTTAATTACACCAAGCTGAAAGACATATTTCCTTGTTCTTGCTCACTGTGCCTCCAGCATCGAGTAGTGTTACATGTGGACTGTCTGCCTTAAACTTAGATGGTTTAGAACTCTTCAAGAACACTGAACACTCACATTCAACTTTCTGCATTCCTTTTTAGCACACTCTCTTGGGAGCTAATACTCTGAGATACTAAGTGCCCTCAGCTGTTAGGAGAGTAAGAATTAAGGACTCTTGGTCTGGTAGGAACAACTCTGAATGAAATTTAGTGTTCTGCAGTACTGTCAGTTTATTATGTGTGATACACCAGACATCATACCACATTTGTGTGGTTAGAATTATCCCTTTTTTTTTGACCCTACCTTCTGATTAAATAAGAGGCAAGTAAATTAATTTTTAGAGGACAAATTAACCTAGAGCAACTGTACTGTCATTTTTGATGTGCATGTAAATAGAGCTTGAACCTGGCAGTCATCTTGCTACCAAACTATCGTCCTTGGCAGTGTAGGATGTTAACTAACCCATAGGAATCTATGTGCAGAAATAAACCCAAACAGTTGAGCTGTCTTGTTAGCAGTACAGTGTAGCTTTCTACTCTTTGAAAAAAAAATTTAAAAATTAAGGGATCATTTTAGTTTCTGAAGTACAACTATTCTAGCGTAGGGAATGTGTGATTACTTTTTTGTACATTTCAGAATTGTGTATTGAACCTTATATAAAATGGTTTGCTTTAGACTTTGTTCTGAAATGTGATATGTTTGCCATAGTTGTATATGCCTGTTTATGGCAGAAATAGGTTTTGCTTAGACTTTTGTGTGTGCATGTTTTACATGAAAATTTTTGTAGCACAAATACAATACATCTTAGAAATTGAATCATGGCTGTGCAGTTCGACTGCACAGAACTGAATATTTCTCATTAAGAGAACAGTTGCAAAGGAATGCACTGGCACTACATTTGCCATGCAATGGCTGCAGTGTACTAACGATGCATTCTATCAAATGTGGTGGTAGGTCCTTCAGAGTAATCAGACACACCATTGTATCTGTGTGAAAACCCGAAGTTGGTGTTTACACTTCTAGACAGAGAGCTCAGCCACGTTTTAAAGGCTGATGTTAATCAGGAGTCACATCCTGTGTTTGATGTAGAAATGGTGTTTGTTACACACTTCTAGTGCCATTCAGCAGCAGTTACAGCAAGGAAGTTTACAGCAAAATTCTGTTTGACATTATAGTTCCAAAAGCATTGTCATAAATACAGCAGTTCTCTCTGAGAATGAAATTAATTTATGGCAGTTGTTGTCTGCAGAAATTTGGAGTGTAATCCAGCAATGTGGGCTTGCAAAATCAGACCTTTAAAAAGCCGAGGCCTCAGCTTTTAGAAAGAATCACTAAATACTGGCATTTCTAAATTCACCAACGGGAGTCACGTTCAGGGAACGTGGTGATCAAAACAGAGGTGTCAGTATTAAACTCCAACATCCAGGTGCCTCAAAAGTGTCAGCACCACAATTGGAACCCAAGCACAAGCTGCTGAACTATTTTCAAGACAGAGAAAATGCAGTCACAGAATCCATTGAACTGGAAGGGCATTATGTAATCAAAACAAAGGAAAGCTCACCGATGTAAACAATTATTATTATTTGGATGGCATCTTCAGTGTATTATAAACTTAAAGCAAACTCTATTAAAACTGGAAAAAAACCTCTTCCACTTATCTCTAGTAAATGTTCTGTTGAAAGCCTTTATATTGTGGTCTATTAAATTGCCCTTGGATGACTTCTAGACCTTGGTGCAGATGGTGTTTTATGTGAGATACGTGGAATTGCGTTGCATGCAGTACATACGTGGCCAATAAAGAGCAGCCATTAAAAGCTGAAGTAATCTCAAATATTCCTTTTATACCAGTTTGCTAGGTAAAGTGCAAAAAAGAGACACCTACATCATTCTGTAGTGTCCAACACTGAATATAAAGATTTTTAAGTTAAAAGTGCATAAACGTATTTGTAGAAATCTAGCCAAAAAAAAAAAAAGCCATTCTAGCTATGAGAGCAAATTCTCAAATAAAAGCAGGGAATGGTTAATAACTATATAATCACATTATTTTTGTAAAAAATACAGCTCAGATATTCAAAAGACAGCCTAAAATAAATTATAATAATATAAAATTTAAATAGGAACCAAAGCATTGCCATTTATATTGCCAAAGGAGGCACTTTGTACTTTGAAGCATAGGAAATTAAACCCCCCAAAGTGTTACCCATACTTTTTTAAAATCAAGGATGTAGATAATTTCAAAGCTGTTTTTGATGTTTAACAGTACAGATTTGTTTTTGTTGTTTGAGAAATTTGTAGTAAGTAATAGCACAGGCTTTTTTCCAGCTAGGATTCCCTTCACAGAACTGCTTGCAGTAGGAACAACGCTAACCCCAGGAGCTGTTCCTCTTCTTATTTTCACAGTCATAATTATGTCTTAGCATCTCATTTAGTGAAAAGAAGAAGACAGACACCTGTCTCTGGGGCCCTCTTCATTTAAGCACTACTTTACTAAATGCAAATTATGGCAATCAGGGCGTCAGTTTATGTATTGCCTTTCTATAAGAAACCATGATGCCTTTGTATTTGCTGTTTGCACCCCTGAACTCAATTCCATACGTTTGAATGCCATATGTTTTGCACATTGTACTGTATATATGTAATGCATACTGTATTTTTATATGTGTACTACATTTATCAAATATTTTGTACATAGTGGCAATATTGTAGCTACTGAGGAAATGTTTGATATTTCAGCATTTTTGCTAAGTGTCTCAAATAAAAAAGGAAAACTGTGTTCATTTGTCTGTGGTCACTTAAAATGAAAAATACCCTTAATCGACAAAAATTCTGACTTGTGCAAATCTGAAACTTGTATGTATCTTTCTCACAGAAAGGAGCAAGAATGAAATCTGCACTTAGGCAAACTCAAAAAAAATTTATTAGTCTTCAAAATCAGAGCCAAAATCTTTAAGACTAGAGATTTCCTGAACTCTCAAAATTTGGGTTTGGCCTTTATGTAATAGCATTGCTTAAAACCCCCAGAATCATAGACTCTGGGTCTGGACCCAGAATGGCCTGGGTTGGAAGGAACTTAAAGCTCAAGTGGTTCCAGCCCCCTGCAATGGGCAGGGACACCTTCCACTAGACCAAGTTGCTCAGAGCTCCATCCAGCCTGGCTCTGAACACTTCCAGGGATGCGGCATCCACAACCTCTTCATGCAACTCACTGCAGCATCTCACCACCCTCACAGTAAAGAACTTCCTCCTAATACCTGATCTAAACCTGCTCTCAGTTTGAATCCATTCCCCCTTGTCCTGTCACTACGTGCTCTTGCAATGCACTTCAATTCACGACTTTCCCGGATCCTTCCCAGGTTTCCAAGATGTGCTGGTTTGTGGGATTTCATGTTTGCAATTTGCATTCTGCTCTGTTCAAGAACACTCTCAATGCATTTCCTCAGGAGAATCAGCTATGAGCTGTTTCCACAAACTTCTTTTCATGATGAAGCTGCTTCATTTCAGTATTTTCTTTGCTTTATGAGGGCAGTCCCTGTGCTGATCACCCACCCTTTCCTCACTCTGTTCTACACTGATGACATCAGAACTTGGCCAAATATTAAAAACCCCATAAAGCAGTAAAACTGCACAAATTCAAACTAATATACTCTGTAAATTTCATAGAATACCTTTTCTCCATTGTAAAAGTTTGTGGGCTATAATGCCACCAACTTACCTTCAGCCATCACACACCACACACAAACCTTGCAAAGCAAGTGCAGCAAGGACTTTGCCTTTGTGCATTACAGAAATTCCAGCTGGAGTATAACAGAGGTAAAGCACTTGTTTTGGTGCCAACTGGCAATCCTGGGTTTGATTGTTTTACAAAGAAATACAAACACAAAGCCCTCCCTCCCAAACTGTGTTCATATTAGTATTATGATGTAAACACAAAACAAGGTCTGATAAAACTTGAGTTTATTCTGAATGAACTTCTCCCACAAGCTAAACCCTGGTTTTCAATAAAACCTCAATTAAAACGTGTTCTACAGATGGCCATCATCACAGTTGTCTTTACTCTGTACCACATTAAATGCTCTTTACTGGTGCCTATTGGCTTGTTGTGTATTGTACTAATGTTGCTAGTGACGTATTTCTTAGAATGTTTGTACTGTCTCAAGTCAGAGATGTTTCTTTCTACTGAGACCTTCCCAGACCAAAATCAAAATAACCAATTAGAGCATCTGAGACCCAACAGCTAAAGTTTGGGGTTTTGCCTTTAGGTGTTTATCCAATAATGTAATAAGTAACTCTAAGAAATGCTTCCCTTCATGTAAAAAGTTACCTGAGGAAGAGCCTCCAGTCTTCCCTGCAGATGAAGGACTGTGGGGCCACTCCACCATAGCACTGCATCATTCCTGAACCCCTCCAAGACATCTGCTGTGGATTAAAAGTTAAGATAGTGAACACAAATGTTCTTTCATAAAGCCAGGACAAAGTCTAAGTTCAAGTAATTGCTGACTGAGGAGCATTCCAGCTATCCCATAACAGATCTTTATAAACTCAGCTGAACCAAATCTGCCTAAATACAATTATTCCCCAGGAGCTCCTCTGAAGAGCTGGGGATGTGTCAAAAGGATTTTGTACTTGAAAACAGACATCAAAGACTCTCCTAAAGCAACACCTCCAACTCACACGAGTGAGGCTTAGGGGAGGAAGCTAAAAAAACAGGTGATTATTTCTTCCTTCCAACAAAATCTCTGATGTTATCTTTTCAGCAATGGAGTCCTCCACAGACTTTCCTTTAGGAAACTCGTGTGTTTAAAAAAACGTTGTGTCAGAAGAGAACACAGCATGAGGAGGAGTCGGCATGAGGAGGAAGGGCTTTCCCATGGAGCTCAGACAAGAGTAATGACCAGCATAAAAGACACTTCCAAGCAAAAGCATCCAGACAGCAGAAGGGCAATTACACGTTTTTAAATCAAGTTTGCATTTTTAGTTATAAAAACTATTGTTGTGATAAATCAGCTCACCATTAAACAGCACTTTGTTTAGACAGATAGAAACAATTTTTCCAGACACGGAGGAATTTAGGCTCAGAGAGAGACAAAAAAACCAAAGTAAGTACTTCCTCTAATCTACACAGAAGATCCTTGTGATTTCAAACTTAAGTTTCCATCTCTTCATACAGTTAAGGAAGAACTTGATCAACAGAAGTTGATTTGCCATTAAATACTATTTCTGATGCCAACCAAACACATTCATTAAAAATGTAGTGTCTTTGAAGACATAAAACTCATATGAATTCCACAGACAATTCAAACATCCCCTTTGTTTCTCCCACCACAAAATTCCCTCTCACCTCACAAAGATCCTAAAGCATGAATAAATCAAATATATGTGAGCTGCACAGGAACTGTGATGGCAAGTTACAACTCGCAACTATGGCACATCAAAGAGCATAGTTTGTAATAAGCCAGTGGGCCAGAAATGGAATGATAATAAGCAAACATTGATTAAAACTGGACTCCTTCCCGCTGCCAGCTTGGTAACACTGCGAGAAACTGTTCAGGCAGCTGAGATAACTTGGCCCTCTGAGGTCACTCCTTTCCAGGTGTGAGAGTTGAGCAAGGCAGGCAGTTTCCACTCCCACACACCAGCACACTTGAAGTGCTGCAGTGATCACAGTGACAACACAAAAGCAGAACACAACAGTACTATTCTCACTTCCCAGCTTTCCACAGTCCATGTCCTTTGAAGCTGGTACTGAACAAGACTAGCAGATAAATAAATTCCAGCAAGCACGTGGTTTGGCCAGCCCACCAGTCACGTCCGCAGGGACTGGAAGAGCAGGACTCATCTCCTTTGGGACAGCTATTCCATGGTAGGAGCAAACACGTCGACTGACTACCCAGTAAGGTAACGCGACACCTTTCACTGCAGGTGAAACTAATTCAAATTGCTCTGTTTGCTCAAACACAGGCAGTGTAGAGTTATCACAGAGCAGCTGGCAAATGATAACTTTGAAAGCATGAAAGTTTGTTCATGCACTCGAGCCATCAGGCATGAGCTTCCCTGATGAGAATTCAAAGAACATCCCAAGAGAATACAGAAGTATTTCCCTGCCACAGGGTGGTTCAGCTAGATGACCTCTGAAGGTCTCTTCGAAACCAAATTCTTCTGGTTCTGTATCAATTTTTTAATGCACCTGCCTTACAGCACCACCAAATTATAACTCTGATCTCAACCTTTATACAAAGGTACCTCTGTAATATGTTCACGTGCTTCTTCCACAAAAAAGCCCAAACCAAAACCAAAAGGGATATAAAACTTGGGTATTCAGCATAAGTTTCATGGAGAATTTAAAGGGGTCTCCATTGAACTGACATTAAAAACAAGCAAAAACAAACAAACAAATAAAATCCAAACCCAAACACTGAATGAAAACTAAAAGCTTTGCTTTCAGGTCACACTTGTAAAAATCTAGGGGACACAACCTAGAGAGGAAAAAAAAGTATTTTCATATCTTTTCTGTTTCGCCACAGTGAGTTTTTGGAGGGAATAGCTACCAGGTAGCGAGTGCGTTTAATTTAGCATTTACCATTTAATTATCCCAACGTTTTGCATGTCTGCTTCTCTTCTCGGAGGAGGAAAGTTTCAGTCCCGCTTTGTCCCCTGTCTCCGAGCTGTCCTGCCCGGTCCGAGGCGGCTGCACCGCTCGGGTGCCATCTCCGGGCACGGCGCCCTCACAGCCCCGGGGCCGCTGAGGGGGGCGGGACGGGCACAGGGCGGTACCCTCACGAACGGCCCCGCAGCTCCCGGGGCAGCGACAAGGACACAGGGGAGAAAAAAGGGGAGAAAAAGGGGAAAAAGGGGAAAAAAGGGAGAGCGCAAGCCCCCACGCGCCGCTCCTAGTCCCTCCCACACGTTCCGCCCCCTCAGCGCCTCAGGTGCCCGCGCGGGGGGCGGGGCGGGGGCGGGCGCGCGGGAGTGGCGCCAGCGATAGAAGGGCGTCGGGAAGAGCCCTTAACGCAGGCGCGGTGGCCAAGTGGTAAGGCGTCGGTCTCGTAAACCGAAGATCACGGGTTCGAACCCCGTCCGTGCCTCGGCGGGTCCGCGCGGGCCGGAGGTTCCCCCTCATTTTTAGGGGGGGCTCCGCGGGGCCGGGAGCGCGCCCGTTCCGCCCCCGCGCGTTCCCCGCGGCTGCGGCCCCAACAAAGGGACCCGAGCACCGTCGTACCCTTCGTGCCTCCCCCGCTCCTGGTGTCTGCAGCGACTGGAACGTGTGTCTGAATTTCTGCTTGCGACCCAATCGCGTTTTTTCAAGGGCTCCCCTGAGCTCAGACTGACGAAGCAGAAGACAGTTTGAAATGCAGCGACCGAGAGCACCCTGTAATTCCACGTTCTTTTCGTTGGTCCGCCCCCCTCCCGCAGCCATGTAATTCATTTAATTATTTATTAAGTTGGTTCTGCCTTCTGATTAGTAAGCCATGAGGTGTCTTCATCTGTGTCACTAACCACTTAGAAGGACTATTTGCAATCTGGTTAGTGTTCACTTTACATTTTCTATTCTTTTTAATAGAAAAACTCCCTGTGATGCTGAAAACGGGTAAGGGAAGGGGCACTTTGGTTGCACTCCCAGGAGCCGAGCAGTGTCACCTTCTCCAAGCTGAAGCAAACGCTGGGTGTTCCAGACACAGCTGATCCCGCAGGACCAGGAGGTGCAACTCAGTGACACTGATAGGACCAGACACCAAACCCACAAACACAGTTAAGGGCTGACAGCACTTAAACCCATTCTAACAGTGTAAATAATTACATTATTGCTAATCGAAGGAAATCTTTGTTGATTCGTATTTGATAGTTACTATTTGAAATTCCACTCACCACTGTGTCCACACGGTCACTTTTTTTCCTGCCTGTCCAATCTTCCTCTCATATTCTGCACCACTGTTGTCAAGAATCAAGACTGTACAATTGTATGAACAGAAATAACTGTCATTAACTATTTAGAGTGAGTTTTGAAAAATCTGTTGAAAATCAAACATGTAAATTCTGTTGGCAAGTCAAAATCATCATTCAAGCTGTATTTTGATTTAAAGAAGGGCTGTAACCAGTTATAAAATCAAAGAATGGTTTGAATTGGGAGAGACCTTAAAGACAATCTCATTCCAAGCCCCTGCCATGGGCAGAGACACCTTCCACTAAATCAAATTGCTCAGAGCCTCATCCAACCGGGCCTTCAACACTTCCAGGGATGGGGCAGCCACCTCTGGGCAACCTGTTCCGCTGTCTCACAGCACACCTTATTCTATATAAAGCACTTCCCCCCCTCCCCCCAGATTTAGTGTTACAAAGATTATCTGATTGTATTAATTGTGATTAAAATTTGTATTTTTTACACTTAGCTTACCGTCAGTATCCACAAGTCTCCAGAACTGCTCTATAGTAAATCTGACATAACTCTGATGAAGCATCAGCACAGAGGAAATCACAGTGCTTACCTTTCCAGCTCATTTTGAACCTGAAATTTCTCGTATGAAATCCATGACAACACTGCCCAATCTCCCTACAGAGAAGAGAGACGTAAATTATTGATTTTGCACAGTGACAGTTCCAGCACAGAGCACATGCAAGACTACAACCCAAGATGGTCTAAGTTGATTTCTATTTTCTTAGATGTTTTTACTTATGGATATAAAGGACAGTGAGGAACAGCCATGTCCCTGGAACTGCTTTCACAAGAGGTTTTTAAATACAAAAATCAGACTCAAGGGCAAAACCTAGATCTGATAAATACTGCTTTCCATTGACTACAGCCTCAGGGAGCCTCACAGGCAGGGTGGTGGAGAGCAGCCACCCTGCCCATGATGAATAAAGCTTTCATACATTCTTGCTTGGTTTTTAGAAATATATTTAGAGGACTAAGCCAGGTACGTAGGAGAGCTATGGCTGTGTCTCCTCCTCTTACCAGTTTGAGGCCTGTGAGTCTGTGTTAGATGAGACACAGAAATCAGGTAACACAGAGCCTGTTTTTCCGTAGTCTGCAGACAGAACTTACATTTTGTTGAATAACATAGCTAAACTGTTAGCAGGATAACAATGTTGCTAAGTAACATCTTAAGACATGCCTTGTGGTTATTTACTTGAAATTGATTTTGCAATTAGAAAACTATCTGTGAAGTCACATCTTAAGAGAAACTAGTGCAGCCCAGAAATTGTAACTCCAGTAGCAGTTAAGAGGTAGAAATAATTGATACATCACATAGATCCTCTGCAGTTGCTACATATTCTTCTTGCATTGAGGACCCAGAAGGACACAGCACTGCTCACCTGCAGTGTCCAGAGCAGAGCATTCCTGCACATCAGGACTCACGGAAGGACCCCAGGAGCAGTAACTGGGACTTTGCATTCGGCACAGCCAGCACAGCCCGAGCTGCCATGGCTGGGCTGCCCCTGCTCAGCTGCCACCACGTCACATGCCAGGAGTCACCGCCTGTGATGAGCACAAACTATCCCAGCTGGCACACACAGCCTGTCCCCACGCCATGTGATGTGAAATCTAAACTAGAAACTTCCTCTGGCCACGTGTTTGGCGGCTCTGCAGCCCCCCTGCAGCCCTGGCACCCGGGGGAGCCCACGGCTCTCTGAGCACCCAGGGACAACAGCAGCAGGACAAACACAGGCTGCAGCACAGAGCCGTGGGAAATGAGTCCTCTCCACAGTCCAGCTTCTATCGTTGCATCATTTAAAAAAAATCCCTCGCACTGTGCAGTCGTATTAGTGAAAGCAGCAGATGAAGCAAACTTAACTTAGTTTTGTATTTTCCGTTGTTGTAACAGAACCTCTTGCTGCCTTTTTAATTGAATTTTACATGTGACAACCAGTATGACCAACAGAGGACAGCACATCCATTTCTTTTAATCATTAAAAGATCCTGAACTTGAAGCTGCCATTCACTTTTTCACTCAGGAAATGAGAGTGACAGGCAGAGTGGAGCAGTGTGCCATGAGTAAGCCAGCCAGATTAAAAAGGCCTTTTTGCAATTAACTAGAGCTGTTTTGAATTCCAAGAGATTACTCCAAGTAAATCCACTTCTACCCAGGCATTATTGCTAACGGAACACTGTGGGTGCACCTCTCTGAAAGCTGGGTCTGTATTTCGGCACAGTTGTTTACCGAGCACTGCGATAACTGTTAGAACATACTTAGGAGTCAAAGCACACTCAGGATTGTCAGGTGAACTCTGCTAATTCCCCTTCAAAACTGCAGACAGACAAGGTGTCTGTAACTAAGTTTTGATTAAATGTGAGTGTTCATAAAACACTGAAGTAAAGCCAGACTCAGGTGTTTTTACTGCATTTGATTTGGGGGCAGAGAAGACTCTGCAAGTCATAATGAAATTCAAAGAACAAACTCAAGGATTTCATGTGGCTGAGGGGAATTTCATTACAGAAATTCAATTAACCTGCAAGAGTTGCAAACATTGAAACCTATTATCTTCCCCCAAAAGCTGGCTTTGGGGTTTTTATAGCAACCTTTGCTATCTCTGGATAAATAATCCTTTATTACAAATGCATTGACATCTTTATATAATTAATTGAATATAATAACATCTTCATCCACCTCTGCTTTACAAACATTCAGTTCTGCTTCCTATGAAATGTGTCAAAATAGTGTTTTTTCAAAAGACATGACTCAAGAAGGACTGGGTGTTAGACACAAGCACAAAGCAAACACACAGATTCAGGAGACACGAGGAACGACAGCGGCTCCTGACAGTGTGCAGGTCTGCGTTTGTCAGGCGGGGCCTGATCCTGGGAACGGCTGAGCTGAATTAATTAACAACCTGACATACAATTAAGCCCATGGGGACTGACAGTGCTCAGCAGTTCTCAATATTGGGGCCCTGCAATAAAAGGCAACCTCCAAATTCCCATTCATGCGAGTAACAATATTGCACACATCTACAGTGGGGACATGAATTATTCACATCAGTGTGGCATGAAAGATGCAAACGGCAGAGCCTGTTTAAAATAACACACAAGCACTCATTAGTGTTCCTGTGATCCGTGGGAGGGTTATCGTTTGGCCCATTTTTCACTCTCATGCATATTGCTTTTATTTGCTGTGTGCATAGGTCTGATATGAGAATGTGGGGAAAATAAATACAGGAGATAGGCATCTATAAACATTAGTGGAAAATGAGGAAAGGGGGTTACTGATTAGCTTTCTTCCCATATGAAACTCCTAGATCGTATCGGAGAAATGCGAGTTAAGTGTTTTACCATTCTTTTTTTTAACCATTATCTGATCAGAGAAGCATGAAAAGCACTTTATTGCCTTTTTTTTTTTTTCCCGGGCTAGGAGCCCTCTGCAGGAAGTGAAGCTGAATTTCACAAATCTTCCCTTTCTGACGTCTCCCGAATTTCTAGGAATACCCCTTCCCTGTTACTATATTTGGTGGTAGTTTCTAGGAAAAAAAATAATTTTCGGACGGTCTTGGACTCACCACACCTCCTCTCGGAGGACTGTGCGCCCCGGGGCTCCTGGCACGGCCCCCGCGGAGTTGAGGAGCTCACGGCTCGGGCTCACAACTCCCGGCGCAGGCTGCACGTCTTTGTAGCACTGTTGGAGGAACGAGCATGGAGAGGGAGTGGGAAGGGGAGAGGTGTCTTTGTGGCAACAATGAGTGAATCTTCTCTAGTTTTTTCCTGGTGGCTGCTTTTTTTTTTTTCTTCCCTGCACTTTGTTGATTTTTTTTGTTGTGGCTTTTTTCTTTTTTTTTTTTTTCCTCCCTTTTTCAAAGAAGAGGATCTTAAAGAAAAAAAAACCTCTGGATTTTTTTTTTCTCCCTCCGCTTCCCCCTCTCCCCCCTCCCCTCGATGTGGCCTCTTGTTTAGCTTGTGGCGTGACCGTGATGAAGAAATGTTTCAGGGCGCCTGGCAGGGTGATCTTTTTATGTAATGAGTCAGGATTTTGCCAACGGAAGGAGCCGGCTCGGAGCGAGGACCGGAGGGGCTGTCTCCTTTCAAGAACGCGGACCTGCCCGGCGAGCGGCTCGCTGCGCTCGGGATCTCCGCTCGCTGCGGGCGTGGATCCATCCCCGGCCGGGGGGGCCCCGCCAGGGGCACTGACAAGCGGTGAGTCGCGCTGTCCCCCCGCGCCCCCGCCCCGCGCCCTCCCGCGGGAGCAGCGCGGCCCCCGCACGGCCCCGCCGAGGCCGCAGGTGCGGCCGCCGCCCCGCGCCCGCTCCCGCCGCGGGCAGCGGGGCCGCGCCCTGCCGGGGATGGGGCGGCTCCGCCGGGGCGGGCGCGGCCGAGCCAGCGCGGCCGCGGAAAGGCGCCCCGGGGGGCGGGGGCGGCGCGGGGGCCGCGCATCCCGGTGCATCCCCCGGAGCGCATCCCCGGAGCGCAGCCCCGGGAGCGAACCCCCGGGAGCGAAGCCCCGGGAGCGCATCCCCGGGCGGCTCCCGGCGCGGCCCCGCGTCCCACCTGCCGCAGGCCGCGGAGGGGGCCGGGCCCGCCGCGCCCCGCGGGAAGGGGCGGTTCGCCCGTGCCCCGCACCCTCGGGAGCCACAGGTGTGTTCGCTCCCCGCGGGGTCCGGCCCCGGCCCCGTCCCGCCGCCTCCGGGCGGCTCCCGGGGCGACTTTCGCCCCGCACCAACAACTACAAACGCGCCGTGTCGATGCGAACCGTCTGAGCGGCTCGTGTGAAATCATGGCCAGCAAAGCCACCTAAATCGGCACAGCCACAAATAAGTCGGTTGAAATGTGTGGCCTGTAGAAAGGGGAATTATTTAAACATTTCTACTTAGCCAGAATTTCCATCAAGTTCTCTGTGTTTTCCTGTCAAGATGTGTTAGTTGATTATGCAGTGGTTCAGCTAGGACAGCGTTCTTCGGCTCTGTATTTTGATTATCAAAAGCAGAATGAATGTAACAGTGGCTTTTCAAGCACAGTAATTAATTTCTTTTAAAGTAACTGACAGCATTTACCTACTTCAGCCATCCAAGTGTAAACTATAATGCTTTTAAACTTGGGTTTTATTTAGAAGTTCTATTGGAATTATAAAGTGAGGATTTAGAAAATACGTTCCTTGTCCACGAATCTCTCTATTTCCTCTCACCTTTGAAAGAAGTTCTTAGGAAACATCATACTCAGGGTGGTAAGATGTAGACACACAGCTGAATACTTGAAATTATCATTGTTAATGGGAAAAGACTTGTTTCAAGTAAAGTGAAAATATTTTGTATTTTATCATACAAATAAGAAATTTAGAATATTGACAGACATTTCTCTATAATGTGTCTACTTTAGTCTGATACAGTGGAACAGATACACAATAATTTGTCACCCACTTTGAGAAGAAGTCTTAATAGATAGTTTGAGTCCTAGGTCTAATAAATAACTGTTATTCTGAGTAGTTCTGTCATTTTATAGACACTTAGAGGAGGTATTTCTTACCTGCCTGATAAATAAATCATAAAATATGAATAAAAACAAATAATATCTCTTAGCAATTCCTGCTGTCCAGAAAATGAAGGAGCGTGTATTGTGACTTGGCTACAACATTCTCTTTTTATTAGTCTGAAAATTACCCACTCTATAAGCGATGACTCAGTTGATTTGGCATATCTTACAAACATACTTTACTTACAAATTGAATCTTGGAAGGTTGTGGTTCCAGAGTCGGGGTTTTGGGGGCGAGATGAGCTTATGTTTTATCCAACTGGCCCACAAAGTCCCGCTTTTGGTGGTCACTTTGTTCTGCAAAAGAAAACAGCACATTATGGCTCTTACACTGGACATTAACCTTAATAGTAAACTACTGCTGCACTTAGTAAAAGGCTGCTACACTTTAAATAAATAATCGTGTTCTAACTTTAATGTTGTCTTTAGAGATAAAAAGTGGATAGAAAATATTATCATTTCAAAGGTAAACATAAAAGCTTTCTAGCTGTTGGTGGTGTTTTTCTCTTAAAAAGCCAGCAAAAGATGAAGAAAAAGTTCTCTCTCAAAGAGTGGTCTCTCAGTACAGGTGAATTGGGAGAAAAGGAAGTCCCTGAAAAACAGAGGCAGTTTAAACCTTGAAAACATATAAGCACTGGTAGCATTTGTACTGTCAATCCCCTTCTCTTTTTTTTTTTTTTGGCTCACAGAGTTTTAATGTATCTCTTCAACCAGCTGTTTCTTTGTGTGTGTGTGTTTGTGTCTCCACATGCACGGTCTGTACCTATGGATCAATTTAAAGACTACTAATTTTTGTCCTGTTAAAAGTTGTAGAATGTATATTTATGAATAAGGCACTGTAAACCTGAGCTTGGTAGAGCTGTTTAAGTTCAAGTTATTATTTACATTTTGGTATCAATGTCCTAAAGAATTTAAGCATAATTTTTACTTAAAAATGACATAGCTGTGCTTTCCTCATGAGGTTCTGGGAAGTGTTGAAAATGACAGTAGATACAGTGAACTTTCTGTGTTCCAAATAGCCTGCACAGATGTTTAACACTCAGTGAAACACATGACACTCACACCATGTAATTTCTACAATGGCTCATGTATGCAGCATGTGCACACAAAATACACACAGGAGCATCCTCTCAGTTGGTGTAAACGTGTCTGTCACAGTTTTGACATTTTATGCCAGCTAATCACCTCCTTAAGTTACACGTTAAACATCTAGACATTCACATTGTGCTCACATTGTCATTGCAGTCAGATTAATTTTAAGTGCTGACCTACTCAGAGTGAACCAATTTGAATATTTCAGAAAGGCCTGGAAATTCAGCTGAAGTTACCCAGTGAGACACTGGTAAAGTGAAGTTGTTCTACGTGACTATAAGCAGGATCTGAACATTTATGCAAATGGATAGCAGGATGAATTACCAAGATTTTTCTATAGAATTCTGACATTTTAAATTTTATAGCAATACAAGTGAAATAGGACATATCCAAACCTCAGTGCAACAAATTCCTCACTTGTTTAAGACCGAAATCTGATTTGAAGGAGCTTAGGTCAGAACTGTGCTGCTAATATGCCTTTTAGCTACTGTTCTGCATGAAATAATGCTGTTCAAAGGCAGCATTTATGAAAGGTTAAATTTTCATGAGCCAATTAAGCTACGAACTTAACTGTAGAAATTTTTCATTTCTGAGTTATAGTACTTAGTTTGTGAACACATTTCAGACTTACAAGTTGTCAGATCTGTGTTGGTTTAACCCCTCTGGTCTCTTCCCAAGGATTCTGAGAATGTAAGAGCAGAGAATCAGAGATTAGAAAGTGGATCAATGTGAGGATCTTTAAGGGAAAAGAGAAGCAAACCTACATACCTGAACAGCAGCAGAGATCAGCTGAAATACAGCAGTTGCTTCTTACCAACTGTTACTTTGAAGCTCTTAAATTAAAACATGTAATTTTGCACTGTTACTTTCAGTAAGATGTACTTTAAGCAGCACACTGTGCTGATCAGCTATTTTTAGATTATTTTTTAAAACAGGTTCTATTTGATTCTCTATTGATGATCTATAAAATTAACATGCATTCCTTCTAGCACTAGTAACCCAGCTATAGAATTAATACACTGTTTGAATGATTAATGAGTAGTGTTAAAGAACACAGTTACACTTCTCTAGGCCTTCCTCACACAGCATTTTTATTCACATTTTTTTCCCTTTACTGAGCTTACAGAAGGAGCTCCTGTTTGTCTCTGGTGTGCAGTAAAACAGACAGTTTTCCACTACTGTGGATATTGTGCATGTATTTAAAACTTTAAAAGTATGTTTATTTTCTATGTGTTCTCTAAATTAATGATGATGAGACAAAACAGTGATAGATGCCCTAAACATCTGTGTTATAAAAATTTGATCTCTTTCCCTCACACTGGTTTTCCCCCCAGGTTTGTGTGCAGCTTGGGGTGGTGGCCGCAGAGCTGAGGCTCCTGAAGTGCACTGTGTATCCAGAGCATTAATAATTAAATACCTGGGATCAGTCTATCTTGCTATTTGTTATGAGGAAAAAAAAGAAATTGACAGAAGATAAAAAGTAGATGGTATGTTTGTAATAAAAATTAATTTTTCTCGAGGTAAAAAATGTCATGAATTATTGAAAAAATAATGTTTAGAAATATCAAGCCCAATTATTTATTGCATTTATAATTTATAAAATTGAAAGTCCTACCAGCTATCTTTCTATTTAAAAGAAATTTAAAACTACATTTTTAGAATGACTTTTCTGGATTTTTAAGCAACCCTTTAAAAAAACTCAGCTTACAAACACACTGAATCAGCAGAGGATTATCAAATGGCCTAATCTGTTTACTTTTGAAATTTTATTGAAAGCAGTGAAAAGATCAGGATCTCCCCCAGAATCCAGTGGCATGGCTGGGGATTGGTTTGTGGCCTGCGTTTTCTGAAGCAGGGCCTCAACCTTTGACATCTCCTGACCTCGTGTTGCAACAGAAAAGTTTTGTGACTCCCCTCTGATCCAGCCATAGAAAAAGAGAGGGAGAGGTAACGACCCTGAGTTTGGAAACTCCTGATCTGGAACAACTGAAAATTTTGCCTTAGCAAAGGCTACAATATCAGTCATGCCTTTCCTAGGAAGCCATCCAGGGTTTTTTCCAAGCGAGAGCACAGACACCCAAGGGCTGATTTTTAAGCTGTGCCTTGTCCTTGTCTCCCTGCTGCAGTGTCATCCACCAGCACTGCTTGCCTGGGTAAAACCTGCACCTCACACCACAAAGAAAATCGATGTGAACACACACCGGTGTGTTCAGGTATAATTTTTAAAGACATCACTCAAAGCATCATTTTTTTATTTTATCTTAAAAATAATATTTCATAGGTTATGAAGCAAAAAAAATTTTTTTTTTTTTTTTTTTTAATGGCTTTAAAATGTCTGTGGAAAAACACTGCTATCACCTGGAAGCTGCACCTGTAATGGAAGAAGTGGTAGAAAAGTAGTTGTATGCCATGAAATGCCAAGTCCAGTTCAGCCCAGGTGGCTTGAGACTATGAAGCTTCTGGTGAAATTAATGAATTGAAAGCATCATTTGCCCAGTTCTCAGAGCACAGCAGTTAATAAATGCACTGATGGCTTGCTGCAGTGTCATATGCTTTTCTTAGTCAAACAATGCAGATGC